CAGTTCCCTCAGAACAACAATGAGGAAACTAAACAAGTATGTTAGTTTACGTTTTGATATTCGTGACTTGTCAGTTTATCAGAAATTTCCACATAGTGTACACAAACCTGCAGGAATGTTTCGCGGAATCAACAGGTTTCCAATCCCTTCTACTGAAGTGGACAGTATATATACAACGCAAATAATGTTAGACAATGCGTAAACATGTCATTGTTTGCAGAAATATACTCTATCGTCTCCATGTTACGTCCTGTAACCCTCACTATATGTACTCTTACAGTCAAAGCGCTGGAAATATTCTGGATAATTTACTACGGCGTATGGAACAGTATGCAAATAATCTCGAGAGCTTAGTGGAGGAAAGAACCGAAGCCTTCTACGAAGAGAAGAGACGAGCGGAAGAGTTATTGTATCAAGTCTTGCCAAAGTAAGTGTTGACTATTAACATTATACGTGAGAACGCTGCGTCGAGTACACGTTTGTGCGTGCGTTATACGCGTTGACTTTGCGATAAGCGCATTTGATTAAAGCGCGGTGGTCGTCGCGCAGCGCGTGTTCGAATTTCACGTAAAATAAACAATGTATGCGTTGTATACGTCGCTATGAGTCCCATATCGAACAGGACGCGGCACGACGACTGCCGCCCTTTCATACTTTAGTATGCAAATTATGAATGAAATAACGTATATCAACTTAATACTAACTCATATGTTATTGCTACTGGCAATTTGTACATTTCAATCGCAGACCTGTTGCTGAGAAATTGAAGCGGGGACAAGCAGTGCAAGCCGAGGCATTCGATAGTGTCACTATATTCTTCAGCGATATCGTTGGGTTTACAGCTCTCTCTGCCTCGAGTACTCCCATGGAGGTACGCATAAACTTTCACTTTCAAATATAGGAAGCCTGTGTGTGTTTCTAATGTTTAAGTAAATTTAGTATAATTTACACACGCGATGATAACTACTCAGATGACTTTGGTAATACAAAATTGCGTATGTGGAAAACTGAGGTTAGATAAATTCAAAACACACACACATTTAAATTACTTTATCTCCCAATATTCGCGAAATATATTGTGAAATTGTCAATACATTGTGATGTTGTCGTATTGTGTAACTGTCAACCATTATGTCAAACGTCGATCTTGGATCGATTTTGTATAACATAGTATATGTTTTGTATAACATAGTAAAATCGAAACAAATTAAACAGGTTTATCTCTAGTAACTGTCATAATATATATGATATGTTAATTTGATTGCTCGTTTAATCAATTTTAATATTTCCATTCTAGGTCATCGCTTTACTAAATGACCTTTACACGTGTT